TGTTGCTTGTTTTCGTTGACGATTTTATTTCTGTAAATATTTCCACCCAACATGCCGATCTAGCCTACTGGCACAGGCTAACAATGTCCACAGTGGCGAGTCGGCGGCACAAACTCGAACTTGGCATGGCCAACGGTTACGTAACTGCCTGCATCTTTCCGCTCTCTGATTGGCTCCCGCGTGTAAGGCAAGACAATCTATCGATTGTTTAAATCTAAACCTCTCTTGTAAATGTATGGCCTGACGAGAATTTATCGATGTCGTTCTGAAACACACAATTAGTGATTTTCTACACGTTCAAGTTTTAGTTTTTGTACACACGCCACGAGTATCCACCTCATTTGTTGCTGTTTTTCCATCTCTGACGATGGACTCCTGCAGGAGCCCGAAAGCTCAGAATAAAATACAAATCGTTCCAGTGTTCGATCATATGTCTTCTTTATCGATAAGTTAAGAGTAGGTTTATACTTATGGTTGGGCTATCAGGGTTAAGGAAGGGGCTGGTGTTAGAGTTAAGGTTAGTGATAGGGTTAAGTCGGCCTGCCGCAGACCGTATCACACGATCCAACCTTCAACCCTGGCTTTCCTGTTTTCCGCCCGTTTACGCACCACCAACTTGCATATTTCGTACTGCGCGTCTGTTCCAGCACCTCATTGGAGTAATAAAATAAACTTATGGTAAACATGCGAATATTCTCAATGCCTCCTACAGACCCCATTAATTGTTCCCTAAACTGCCCAAGGACAAAACGAATATGATTTTCCTTCCCTGTGCTTCACTTGATCAGTGGACTTGCATGTTGGATCCTTGCCGAAGAAAAAATGAAAGAAATGTGAAAAGGATCGAAACTGGCTTAGATTTATGTCAAATTATGAGTGTATGAAGGGACATAAAGAGGTAAAGGGAAAGGTTTAGTATGAAAAGGCAGAAACCGAATATGGATGCAGAACTAAATTGTTACTGATAGAGGAACTACTGCAACCCATTATTCAATCACAAATTTAGACCTTTAGGTTATGGTCACCTTGTCAGCTGGCTTCAGATATTGAGCAATAGGACGTAACCTGATCGGTCGGAACGGGAAAGGAGGTTGGGAACGAAGGGTTATGTAAAGCAAAAATCGAGCCACTGGTAGTTGAAATTGTCCTTGGAATCCCATTTCGATCACCATATATAGGAGATAAACAATTTAAACATGAATCTAGTCAGCCATGATGTAGCACATATAAGGGATTGGCAGCCAGAACACGACGCATCTGCTCTCCTGAAGTAGTTGAAGGAGAACTGTAGCAGCTACAGAACACACTCTATGAAATTGGTTATCCAGAAAGGTTCATCCTTCAGAACATCAAGGAGCGTGTCACAAAGCCTGCCGTAGCAACAACAGAAAAGAAAGACCTTTTCATAAGGCTACCCTTCCTAGGAGACGCAGCAAGCGATCTAATAAGACGACGTCTAAGGACAGCACTCACGAGTGCCTTCCCGGCGGCTAACTTAGGCGTATTCTTCACAAACTCTTCCCTTCTGCAGAAGGGGGTGAAGACAAACTACCGTTACAGGCCACTTCCATATGCATTAATTCATTCACCTGTTCCTGTGGAGAGGGATATATTGGCCGGACAACGAGAAGTTTGGAGAAAAGTGTACGCGAACACATACCGCCCTAGCTAGGTAAAGGTGAAAATCGATCGATTTCAAGTCCAATCCTCGCACACTTAATCGATACGAATCACCAAGTTGACGCGAGAGAGGCCTTTCAGAGCATATACCAGGCAGCAACACACTACTCTAAAGGCCTGCGTAAACGGGTGCTAGCCACAGCTGAGGC